CTGCACCAAACTCAGTCACAGTGAATGCGCTTCTTCCTAATTAGAAGGTGGTCAAAATGATTAGCCTTTGTGTTAGCTTTGTAGTATTGAAAACGGCTGTGATTTATGGTCATAAGTGGTGATTCTTGGCAAGTCCATTATGACACCTTCTTCTCTCGCCAAAAAGACCACTTGAAAGTACATTGGGCGAAATTGCCAAATAGAGCTACAAATTAGAATTACTAACATGATTCAGCTTTGAAAGGTTCATTTATTGAGCCCGTAAATGGCGTTGCTTGATTGTACAAACTTTAAATCTGTAAAGATGTACAGTTGGGGCTAATTCAGTGGTTGTCACCATTTGGAGTCAAGACTATACTCTAACTAAGCTACATTGTTCTTTTTCTGGTAATTGCCCTCAATTTCAGTCGAGCTAATTAAGCAGTACCGCGGTATTGCACACAACTGCTTCCATTTAGCCTGAACATTGCTGACATTGTTTCGTTTTTCGCCTTTTTTTGTAGATGGGTCAAGTACGAGGAAATTGTCGAGGAGAGCGGAACGAGATGGTCAAAGCCGTACGTTTCCACCGTCAACCTGGCCGCTTTTCTTGAGCTGAAAAACAGTCTATCAAATGGAATCGTCATTCTGGACAGTGCTTCGAGCACACTGGACATGGTGGTCGATGAGTTTTTGCAGCTGCTGCGAATAAAAAACCTCGTTTCGAATGATGAAGCCAATCACATCTACCAGCTGCTGATGCTGCAGAAGCGGCATCTTTTTCAGAATAAAAAGTCCATCATTAGCTCAATTGCCGATCTGCGGCAAAGTTCGTCGAGCAACTTTCTCAAACTTCTTTCCCGTTCCAGCTGTAAGTGTTTAGCGTGTCAACTGAACTCTTTGCTTGACAACTAATGATTACCTTGATTGACTCTATCTATCCAACAGCCAAAATAAATTGCACCAACGTGGATGCACTGACGCCTAATCAGCCATCACCACTGACCGAAGATGTCAAGTCTGAAATGACCCGGTCACAGTCAAACTACAGCCTGAAGAATGACAATGGTGACAGCCACCTGGCGGTCAATGGCAATGGAAGCCTCATCAAGAATTCATTCTCTTCGACAAATCTGGCTGAAAGTGCCTCCAAGATGGCCAGAGAGTTTAAGGTAATTGCTCACTTTTCATTGACCACTACTTTTACGGTTTTTTCTTACTTAGTTCAACGAAGCATTCTTGAAAAAGATTCCACTAAATGCTCTATCGAACAACATTCTCGTCGGCGAAGTGGATTTTCTCTCAGCGCCCATCTCCGGCTTTGTTCGCNCATTCTTGAAAAAGATTCCACTAAATGCTCTATCGAACAACATTCTCGTCGGCGAAGTGGATTTTCTCTCAGCGCCCATCTCCGGCTTTGTTCGCCTGCACTCGCCCTGTCAGCTGGGTGACATCACCGAGGTGTCCGTTCCGACCAAGTTTATCTACATCTACCTAGGGCCGAAACCCATTCCTCCCTCGACCAGCTACGTTCAGATTGGCCGTGCTCTGGCCACGCTCATGTCCGACTCGGTGTTCCGCTCAGTGGCGCTGCGGACGCAGAGCATCGACTCGCTGATTGTCGCCATTGATGAGTTCCTCGCCGAGGCGCCCATTCTCCCGCCCAACCTGTGGGACCCTGCGACGCGCATTGAGCCACCGGAGCAGACGCCCAAGTCTGATGCTCGAAAGAGCTACCACAACTCGCAGAATGTGGCCATGGCCAACAGCAGCAGTGGTGAGAAGTCGACCTCGCAGTCCTTCTACAACCAGGCCTTTGACCTGGCGTACGCCAACGAGAGCAGCACTGAAGCAGTGCCGAACAACAACAACAACAGCGACAGCGGCAACGCCGGTGGTGGCGGCCACTGGAACTACAATGGAAAGCCACATTACTTTCTCACCGACCAAATTGAGCTTGACTCGGAAGATGAGGAGGAAGTGGAGCGCGAAAAGATGGGCTTAGTTCGCACTGGAAGGTAATTCATTAAATTGACAGACTTATGTGGGATCTTTTTTTGTGCATCAGCGTTTTCTCACTTTTATTATTTGCAGACTTTTTGGCGGCTTAATAGGCGACATCAAGCGGAAGTTGCCTCACTACAAGTCAGACTTTACTGATGCCTTTGCCCTGCAGTCCATTGCCTCCATCATCTTTCTCTACTTTGCCTGTCTCACGCCCATTATCACCTTTGGTGGCCTCCTCGGCGATGCTACCGGAAACAATATCGTAAGCTAATGATCTGTGGCGCCATTGAAAAGTGCTCTCCTATTAACTGCAACACTTTTTATTTGCTTTACAGGCCACTATGGAGAGTCTAGTGTGCGGTGCACTGTGCGGAATCCTGTACGGCTTTTTCAGCGGGCAACCGCTGACGATTCTCGGCAGTACCGGTCCGGTCTTGGTATTTGAGACTATAGTCTACGACTTCTGCACTACCAACAACTACAACTACCTTTCCCTGCGGTTCTGGATCGGTATGTGGATTGCCCTCATTCTGCTCATCTTCGTCGCCACTGATTTGAGCTACCTGGTCTGCTACATTACGCGCTTCACTGAGGAGAATTTCGCCTCACTCATTTCGGTAATTTTCATCTACAAGGCTATTGAAAAGGTACGTTGCTGTGTGAGCTCTGGGGATAAGCAAATTTTTATTTAAAAATTAATAAATTTAATTTTCCAGGTTATTGCCATCGACCATTACTACCCAATGAACACTGAACCGAATAAGGAACTGAACTACGAGTGCTCGTGCAAACTTCCCAATCTGACAAATGCCATTGTCATTCAGCGTGATCAGTCCAACCAGACGGCAATGGAGTACTGTCTGCAGCACGGCGGCATTCTCTTTGGCCGTGGTTGTACCACGCCAAACTACATTCCCGATGTGTTTCTCTTTTCTTTTATTTTGTTCATCTTTACTTATATAATATCAGTGAAGCTGAAGGACTTTCGACAGACGCGCTTCCTGGGCGCCAAAACGCGCGAGTACATTTCCGACTTTTCAGTGCCCATTGCCATTACCGTCATGACGGTAATTGATGGCCTGGTTGGCATCGGAACGCCTAAACTGCAAGTGCCTAGCAATTTTGAGGTAAGCAGAAACAGCTCTTTGATGCTCTATAGAAATGACATGTGCAGTACAATAAACAATAACGTCAACTGACTCAATTGCACGCTTCACCGCTTCAGCCCACTCTGCCAGACCGAGTTTGGATTGTGCACCCCTTCGTGCCGGAAAACCCCGTTTGGATGCCCATCGCGGCCGTCCTGCCGGCCATTCTCGGCACCATTCTCATCTTTATGGACCAGCAGATCACCGCCGTCATTGTGAACCGCAAGGAGAACAAGCTGAAGAAGGGCTGCGGCTACCACCTGGACCTCTTCGTTCTCTGCATTCTCATCGCCATCTGCTCCGTCTTCGGGCTGCCCTGGTTCGTCGCCGCCACTGTTCTCTCCATAACGCACGTCAACTCGCTGACGGTCCACTCGGAGAGCGCCGCCCCCGGTGATAAGCCCAAGTTTCTGGGCGTTCGTGAGCAGCGGGTGACGCAGATTATCATCTTCGTACTCTGCGGACTGTCCATCTTCTTCACGCCCATTCTGCAGCACATCCCAATGCCCGTTCTCTATGGTGTCTTTCTCTACATGGGCATTTCTTCACTCAAAGGATCTCAGGTAGCTTTTCAAATGAGAGAGAGAGAGAGAGAGAGTTTTGTGCAATACCACTTCATATTCTTACATCATAATCCCACTCTTTTTGCAGCTTATCAATCGTATTCTAATCGTATTCATGCCTTCAAAGTACCAACCTGACTACATGTTCCTCCGTCAAGTCAACATCGGTCGGGTGCATCTGTTTACCGCCATTCAGTTTATTTGCTTTGTATTCCTGTGGGTAGTCAAATCCGTGAAGCCCATTTCTATTCTATTTCCCCTGATGGTAAGTGGAGCTGATCAAACGTTGCTGATTAAAAGCTCTAATCTAAATTGTATATTTTGTTAGCTTGTCGTCATTCTGGGCGTTCGCTGGTCTCTGAACTGCTGCTTTAGCACGCAAGAGCTGAAAATTCTGGACGACAACTTGCCTGAATCCAAAAGAAAGAAAAAGGAACGAGCAAAGGCAAAGTTGTCAGCAACAAAGAAGAGAATCACAGAAAAGGACAACAAAACACATTAAAACTTTTTTCTAAATGTTTTTTATTGGCTATTTTTTCAGCACAAAATTGGCGCTCATCTAGCAAGTGATCCTTTGAGAAACGCCAGCTAATTTGCATTGATAACGTGATAAATGTATTTTGCTTTCAATTGAACATTGTGATCACTGATTATCTGCTGATATATTCCCGACGTGAATAATCGATTCACTTTTCCAATAAAACTTTATTGATGTGATTTACCCTTTTTTGGCGGTAGTCTACAATTATCAAGTTTAACTTGCCATTTCAAAGTAGTACATTTTGTACACATTTTGAAGTGCACGCCTAAGATCAGTCATTATTTTGCTGATAGCCACCCCACCCCAGTCTGAGCTGAGAAATGATCACCCCAAAACGGTGCTCACCCAGGGAAGGTCAGCAGTTTGTGCCAGACAACCTTTGTCTGATTAGCCCCAATTACGTTGCCCTCAATGGCCCATCCATATCCTTAGAGAGTGACATTTACCATTTGGCTTATTATATAAGTGGCTGATATTTGCCAGCCACTACCATAAGTCCACTACCACTGCTGTTGTTCTCTGCGGAAATGGCTGCCGCTTGTGCACCAGTCGTTCGCTTTTGAGCTCCGCTTTCGCTGAAGTGTTTTGGTAGTTATCATCGCCTGATTGCCCTTCCACTGTACGACTCAACTAACCAGTGAGCGTACTTGAGTATATCGCCAACTGTTGACAGAATGTCGTCCGATGAGCTGTACAGTTCATCAGTTCATGAGTTCGGCGGACAGCAGTTCTTCACGCAGCGAAGTAGGGCGCACTTTTTCCCTGTGCGCATCGCCCGTTGGTAAACAGTAGTGACGAATGGCTCGGTGGCTAATTAGTAAGTTCACTGTCACCACGTACGCAGAGTTGAGGCCGTCATCGAATGTTCAAATGTCTTTCCGGTAATTGACTTGACGATTGCTTCCTGCAGCTGATATGCGTAGTTGGAGTAAACCAACACTGAAAGTGACTGGTGAAAAATGGCTCATTTTTGAATTTATGAATCATTTGGGTGCTGTTAATTTTCGCTACTATGTCATTAAAGTCGGTAGAAGTTTTTGAAATCCCTGACTACCAGAAATATGCACCAGCAGTTGTCAAACAGTAATTGTCAGCTCTAGAAAATATGTTGGTTTCAAGAATTCGCTTACCAAATCATTGTACTTTAGAATTCCACGATAAACAAAAATTGCAATCAGAGGTAAATGTTTTTGAAATGAAAACAAAATGGTATTTCGGCCCGAACACAGCTTTATAAATCAGCCAATCCCCACGCTTTTTCGATTTATACGCATCCAGCAATGCTGATTCCAAATGATAACGATGGTAAGTTTAACAACTTTTGCTGTTTTTTGCTGCACTTTCAATATTTTGCAATACTTTAGATACAGAAACTGTGTTAGTACAGTGGTAATCATTTGCTTTCAATTGTTGCGATTTATTGAAAAAAGAATGCCAAATTGAAACTAAAACAAAGCAAATTCTTTGTTTCCTAAGCATTTTAAAAGTTTATTTTATACAAATAAAAGATGAAAATAAAGCACACAAAAATGATGTAATATTTTATTAGTTTTGTCTGCTTTTCTGATAACTTTAGTGCAAATAAATAAGTTTTTATTGCATTAGATTACATTTTTATATATAAATTTAGATAATATATCATCAATAAAATTTTTTATCATTTGTATCAATTTTTCTAATTTAATAAAAATACGAATATTTAAAATTTATAATAAAAGTAAAAATTTATAAATTACACTATAAAAATTAAATTTTTTATTAAGCAAAATGCTAATAATGTTATTATTCTGTACTTTTGCAATAAAATGTTGATGTTTTCCATTGTGCAATAATGGATTCCCAAGTTGGCTTTGATGAGGCAATCAGATGGACCTAGAACAAGTCAGGGCGAACTGTCAGTAAATAAATCTACAATAGTCTCACCAAACAAATAAAATGCATTTGTGAATAAAAAATCGAACAAAACAGAAAAGAAATGTCTATTGAGCAGCTTAGGAAAAAACAGTAATCCAACCTTGTAATCAAAGGCAAAAGATCAAGCCAAGCTGCTTACTAGCAATGTCTACAAAAATCAAAGTCAGTCTCCGGTAAAGTGTCAGTGCAAAACAAGTTAAGCAGTCAAATGACACTGCATTTGTCAACTTGGAAAAAATACAAAATGAATAGCAAAAATAAATTGAAGAAAAAAATTCTTGAAATACAAAAATCTTCCATCGAATACCAGCAAATGTAATGCAATGTATTGCTAAATTAGCGAACATTTTGTTAGACTCTAGTTTTGAGCTAGAGAAAAAGAAATAGCATTTGTTGAAAATGCAGCCTATAGTCAGTCTTTGATTTTCACTGATTTGGCCAATAAATTGTGGACTAAATCTAAAACAACATTTGCAAACAAGTAAAGTCTTTTTGAGCTCGGGAACATTACCACCACCACTGCTAAAGCAATAGACTCCCCACTGATGGCTGAAACAGGTCAATTTGCTGACGTCTTGGTGCAAACAGGGGAGTGCGGTTGACAGAAACCATTGCGAGCCATCATTTAAAATGGGCTAGTATCACTCAGATACNTGATGGCTGAAACAGGTCAATTTGCTGACGTCTTGGTGCAAACAGGGGAGTGCGGTTGACAGAAACCATTGCGAACCATCATTTAAAATGGGCTAGTATCACTCAGATACTTTACAGATTAGATACTTTGCAGATTTACAGCTTTTCACAACAAGCGAAAGAAAGCCAAATTGATTGCATTAGGGATATTTAAAGCTCAACGTTCACTGCCAACAGTCCACGACGGTCCACCAAACGACCTGTACCGAAATGTGCTTTGCTGAGAATGCTGAGGAAGGCGTTTGTGAACAAAAAACAAAATATATTTTTTGCAAACAAATCAGAAGCGTAAAGCGCAAGCTAATATTTGATCGACCTAAATTCAACTCAGCAGAATTTGACGTCTAGTGAAAGGCGCCTATTTGAATGTGCTTTTTTTCTAACTATCACCATGGCGCCATTGAACTGCAAAGTAAACAAAGAAGAAGCTTTGTCTAGATGACAATAAAGAAGATTCTTCGGCAAACACACGTGACTATCGGAAAGCAGCCGTATTGCGAGCAAAGTCAGTACACCGTGCAACGGAGAAAAAATTCGCTAAATAAGCTAAGCAGCTTGGCGATGATTAAAGACTTCTCGGTTGAAGGTAAGACACAGCTTGGAGCACAATGATAAATTAGTAAAACTAAGGCGACCACTATCCACAAGACTAGAAAGGAGATCAATAGTCATACTTTCAATGTGTTTGGTCATACTTAATTAGATTGAGGGCTCCTGTACTTAAGCTAATTGTTCAGCTCAGGTTGGCTACTTTACTAAATGGTACACATTCTCGACTGTGTAGGCGATCATTCGCTCGAGGACGTGAATATCGCCCTTATTGGTGAAGGCCACGGCCACTACCTCCTCATCGGGGTAGATGAAGAGCATCGAAGAGGAGCCCAGCAGATGGCCAGAGTGCCAGAGAATGTGCCGGTGCTTCAGCTGTCCATTGCCACCTTCACCGTCGGCCACAAACCACCCAAAAGCGTACTGCGAGTGGATGAGCGAATCTATTCCCGTTACGTTTATCTGCGGCGACCACATTTCTCTGATTGTCTTCTGCGAGAGAATGGCTGCAAATAAAGATAAAAAGCAATGGTCAGCCAAAAGTGCATACTTTCAGAAGTTTCGCCTGCTACCGTCCGTTTGCAGGTGGCCACCACTTACCATTCGGTCGTCCCTTGTATGAGTCAATGAGGAGCTGTCCGTAGGCGAGCAAATCGTCCACCGTGGAGATATAACCGCCAGCTGGCCACATGCCCTCGACGAAGAAGAGCTCATCAAAAGGCAGTGTGGGCACATTCTCCTTTAAATTATTCACATCCACTGCGGTGTAGTAGCGGGGCACATCATGCAAAACGACGCTCATGTTGCCAATAAATGTGGAGCGAAGACCGGCGGCTCGGAGAAAGTCGGCGGCGACGGCTGGATAGGGCCGCTGGCTGACCACCTCAATCACCGCACCGAGCAATTGAAAGCCGTAGTTGGAGTAGTTGAAGTGACTGCCCGGTGTAAACTGCAGCGGCACATCCCGGTACTGCGCCACCGTCTGCGTCACATTCTGGGCGACGAAGACGGTGCGCAGCCCCTGCAGCCAGTCCTCCGAGTCGACGTGCACTCCGCCGCTGTGGCAGAGAAGCTGGCGCAGGGTAATGTTCACGGCCTTCGCTTCCTCCTTCACCGGCCACTTCTTCGGCGGGAAGATCGATCCACTCAAATATTTGCTTAATGGATCGTCGTAATGAACCAGTCCCCGGTCGACCAGGCGGCCGAGGATGGCTGATGTAAATGACTTGGAAACCGAAGCTAATTGGAAGGATGGAAGATAATTAAACAGTGCTCCACAAAAACACAACAGCAAAAGTTAATTTGCCCCTCTCTCTGCCTGCCTCTCTGTATACCTAATCGATATTTAGTGCTCAACTTGGCGGCAACACTGTTCTCCAGATCTGCACGACCCCAAGCTTTGCGGATTACGGGCTTCCCTCGAACTGCCATGCCAAACGCCAGCGATGGAAAGTTGAAGGTTTCATTGAATTGCAGCATGTACCGCTCGGCGTCAGCCAGCCCTTCGGCAAGAGTGGTAAAATGTTTGTGTGGAATTTCCACCCGTTGAGCACTTGCACCGAGAAGGAGGCAAACAAAAACTACTTTCCGAACTGTGTGGTGCATTTTGGCAAATGAGTGTGTAAGTTGTAAATACATTGTATCTGAAACAAATTTGCTTTTTTATACTCCAAATGTACAGTCAAGCAGACTAGCAGCTAGCAAAGTGCAACTGATAACTTATTTTAACTTTTGCTGTAATCTCAATTGCCCTTTAAAGTCAAGTGCCTCATTTAGATAAAAGTTCAATGTAAGGCTCGATTTAATCAATTTTGATACTATATAACATAATCTTTTTTTGTTCAGAGGTAAGTGTTATATGGAAATTAATTACCGGCAATAATTTGGAAAGAATAAGTTCTAGAAGAGTACGTTATAAAGATTAATACTGGCCGTTAGTGGAATTGTGTTCACCGATTCAAGATAGCGCTTCCTCTGAAATGTCATTTCCGTGAGCAACAACTCTGGGTCCGTCAGCCGCTACCACGTCCTCATTGCTCATCTCCTGCTTCAGCTCAATCTTAACTGCCTGCAACTCCCCGGAATCGGCACTGGTTGAAATGAGAAACTGCTCGCCGGTGTCCGAAGTGACCACTGAGCCGTTGATGATAAACTGAGCCAAACTTTCATCACTCACCATTTCTTCCTCTTCCTTTGACTGAATGTAAAAGGTGGTAGCACCTTCTTCTTCACTCAAGTACAGTATTTGAGGGGGAGTTGCCGACTCCTTCTTAACGTCATAAACTTGTTCATACTGTTTCTCCTCTTTTTCTTCTCCCTCACTCATTTTACCCTTCCCAAAGAGTTCAGGGTGGCATTGCTGTCGGTGACGATTGACATGGTTACTCTTGACGAATAGCTTGTTGCAATAGTTGCACTTGTAGTTTTTCTCGCCAGTGTGAGTCTTTTGATGGTTCGTGACATAAGCTTGAGTGACTGCCTTGTAGCCACAGTCGGGCCAGTCACAGCTGAAGGGTTTGATGTTAGCGTGGCCCATAATGTGCTTTTTCAAGTGACATTGCTGAAGGAATCGCTTGTCGCAACCAGGCCACTTACAAGCGAACTTTTTCGACTTTTCGTGAATGGCTTTCTTGTGATCGGTAAGTGCGCCTTTGAGGCGGAAAGCCCAGTGACAACCGGGAAAATCGCACTTGAACGGCTTTTCGCCAGTGTGGATCAATGTGTGAGACATCAGTCCGGGTTTTTGACTACAAAAAGGAGTTATAAAGTATAATTAAAAATATTAGTCGAAAAACTGACTCACCTAAAAGCAGAGTTGCAGCCGGGATAGGTGCAAACATAGGGCCGCTCTCCGGTGTGAGAGCGCAAATGCAACTTGAGTTGGTGGGTTTGGCAAAAGCGCATGCTACAAGAAGGCCAAGAACAGGGGTAGGGTTTTTCGCCCGTGTGTGTCTTTTTGTGATCCCACAAATTAGACCGATACTTTGCAACGTAATCGCAACCCGCAAACTTGCAGGGAAATCGTCGCAGACTGGGATCTTCATCTTTTGGTGGTTTTACTCGTCCTTTCTTTGATTTGAAAGACGGCGTGTATTCGGACGGAAAGTTCACCATGTTGAAGGTAGTTGCATTGTCGAGAAACTTGTGACCAATTTCATCAACATTAACCGTATTGGATACAGTGGGAGTGGGCGCTATATTTCGCTTTGATGCCATATTTCCTTATCAAATTGGTCGCTTTTTGACAAATGGTTCCCGGTAAATCTTTTGAAATTAGAAATGTACTGAATCAGTGGATGTCCGTGTCTAATTCAAAGAAGTTGTTTGCAGCACTGCGAGGGACACTCGCCGAGGATTGTTTGAGCTTCAAACTTGATGTCTTGCTCTTTTTGGTTTAGATTTTCGTTAAATACTAATTCGGGTACTTGTTCCAAAATGGCTCTTTAGCTTTTAGAAACAAGTTTTTTCACACAAGTTTTGTTGATGAGGCAAAATCTACAGGCCAGGCTCACATTACGCGCAAAATTCGTGCAGCGGCGTTTGGTCGAAACAGAAGTTTTGCTCGAGTGTGCCGCACTGTTGTTCAGGGTGGCGCTGCCTGTGCGCGTATTTGCGAGCTTGCACGAAGTGTCGGCTTCGCCTGTACTGTGCAAAATGTGTTAAAATTCGCACGCGCATGCGCTCTTTGTTAAAAAAATTTAAAATTGGCGCTAACTTTTAGCGTCATTCATAGACAAAGTATATTTTACAACTTTCCAGCGCAAAAGTCTTAAAATGTCTGAGATTTTCGGAGATAAGGGCTGCTCTACAAGTGACATTTTATTTGTTAACAATGAAAAAAATAGGTCAGCATAGGAATAAGCACTTGATGAGGCACGCTGACGTGCCGACAGACCATCGTGAACCAATCTCGCAGTAGCAGTAAAAGAGCAGATTGCTCTTGAATGCACTGTATTCTGCGTGGTAGGCCACAACACAACCTAGTTTGTATTAATCAACAAGAAAACAGTAATAAGTAATTATTAATAATTTATGATGTTCTAAAATGCTATTTGTGTCTATGCAATTAATCCGCTTTCCGTTGGGACCTTTTTCCTTGCACCGGCAGCTGTCTGCAGTGAAGCATGTCATTGAGAGCGGTGGAGACTAATCCGCCTGCTGAGAACCAACCATTGAGTAAACTAATTTATCGTAAGGTAATAGTGAACATATTTTTTTAATGTTTTTTTCAAAATGCAGTTTTAAGATAAAGATTGTCTTAATGGAAATAATTGAGTTATTTTTCACGGTTAAAAATATTTTTGTTAAAACAACTAGTAGTTCATTACCTGTTGACAACTTTGCAGAATTAAATAAATACATTTTAAAAAATATTCATTGATCAAGTTCATTAAAACTAATTGAGAGTTTGAAGATGTTCGCTCTGTTAGAATGTAATTTCTAGCTAGCTAAGTAGTTTGCAAAGAACACTGATGAGTGCTCCAACAGTGGATCAATGTTTACCGGTTGACTTTATTCAAGTTTTATGTAAAAATATTGACTCGTCCAAATGTTTGCCAACCAAATCAGCGTATCGGATCAGTCAGCTGGCTCAACAACCCAATCTGATTTAACTCGAATTGAAGTGAGCTTTTTGCAGAAAAGATGGATGCCACTGTTTTCGATGCTTGTTGTTGACACTAGCTGCAATCTCTTCTTCTCTAACTCTGCTTCCTGCCTCAGGCACCACTTTCAACACTGCACTGCACTGCTTTGCCCTTAGCAAATGATGCAAAGTTGAAAGCTTATTTTAACTTCAACACACACACACACATTTTGCTTTCTTNCTCAGGCACCACTTTCAACACTGCACTGCACTGCTTTGCCCTTAGCAAATGATGCAAAGTTGAAAGCTTATTTTAACTTCAACACACACACACATTTTGCTTTCTCTGTTTTTGCTTTAACTAATGATAAAAAATTTATGGTTTGTTTTTACTCTCATGACAAGCTGCACAAGTAAACTTTCATGGTTTAGACAAATAAGTAAAAACGATGGCTAATTTCGTTTTGAGCAATCTAACTTTTATGAAAAAAGGGTAATTGTATTAAGTGGATTTAAAAAGAGCAAAAGTTTTGGTGCTTATTTGTAACCAACTTTTGCTACATCTGTCTCACTTTTTAAATCAGGAAGTGCAACTTTTTTTTAGCTAATTATATTTGCAATTTTGATTAGGAACCAATACAAATAATTACTTTGACTTGTCAAGCGAGAAGTAGACCAAATATAAGTGAATACTTTTTTCAGAATCACTCATTTCTTAAAAGATGTTCTACACTATCTAGTATAATGCTAATACAGCGATCACTTTTGCAAAAAATTATCACTTATACTCATGTAATGAAATTACTTTGGGATTTCGTCAAATGTGCGAAACCAAAAACTGATAAGAAGAAAGGTTTCTACTGGCAAGACACTACAGTTTAGTGACTGAATATTATAAAAAAAAGTGAACGTAAATTGAGAAAATGAGGAAGAGGAGGAGAGTGACGGTTATATAGGGACGTATACCACTGAAGTTGAAGTGAGAGATGAGAAAATGTAATTTCTTTCTTTCATTGAAGTCTGCTACTATCTTTCTCTCTCTCTCTCTCTCTCTCTCTC